CGCCGCCACCTCCACCGCCGCCCTCGCCGCCGCCACCTTCGCCACCGCCCTCGCCCCCCCCGCCGTCGCCTCCGCCCTCCCCTCCCCCGCCCCGCCTTCCCCCGGTGCCGCTAGAGTGCTCGGAGATTGCGGACCGCCAGTACGAGTCTTCGCTGGCATGCACGCAGCTGCTCGCGTCGAGCGTGCCCGGCGGGTGCGCGGCGTGGTACGCGAGCGACCCGTCCTCGCCAGGGCAGCTGCAGCTTTGCGAAGCGCCGCCGTCGCCACCTGTTCGCCGTCGCCGCCTCGCTGCCTACGGCGTTTGCTCCGGCAACGACAGCCGCTGCGGCCACGCAGATAATGGCAACCCAAGCAGCAATATCAACTTTGAGTGCGGCATGGGACATCAGCCAACGTGCCAAGAACTCTCGGTTGGTTGCCAATGCTTGAGTCACGATTGCCGCGCGAACTCGGCCTCGTCCCCTCAAGTTGAGCAGCTTGGCCTTGCCATCCATACGGTTCGACTGCTCAGACATTGGAGGAGACAAGGGGATGGTGGTGGGTAGAAGAATGCGGAACGAGCAGCCAGAAGCAGTCGCGCGAGTCAGAGAGTCGGGCACGAGACGTCGAGCATTGAAACCATCCGTAAAGGTTTCGTGCGACCGTCCCCAGTACAGGATTCCCCTGTACAGGGTGTGAACATCGTGCACTCGATGGTTTTCCCCGGCCCATGCCGGGTACTCTCCAGTCGAATCTGACGTTTGGCTACACTAGTAGAGCCGTGGGCTCATTTCACGTAGCTCTTTGTGTTGCGATGCTTCCTGGCGAGAGAGTGCTGGGCTTTCCCCGGCCCACACTCGGCTCTTGAGGCATTTATCGGCATCTTAATATGCCGTAGGGACACACAGCAAGGAGTAGTGTCTACGCGCGCACACGCCCCGGAGTGCCAATTTGGCTACGGGTTAGGGTTGCGTTGTCCTAACGCCTGGGAGCTCCTCATGCCCTCTCTCCATGCCTGACTGGAGCTCCTGCATGCCCTGTCCCCCGACGAGGCGCCGCAGTCCGCGTCCTCCGCGTCCGTTGCGAGGTGACGGACGGCGCGACCACCTCCGCACACCCGTCTACACCGCCTTCTTGATCCCATCCACCAGTGGAAATCAAGCGATGTGATCCCAGAAGGCTTGCGTCGTCATGACGGGTGTCACTGCCGCGGCGCCGCGCCGCGTGCCGCGTCGTCGCGCCCTGTGACGAAGGATCCGTGACCGTACTGGCTGCCATAGAAGAATGCGGAACGAGCAGCCAGAAGCAGTCGCGCGAGTCAGAGAGTCGGGCACGAGACGTCGAGCATTGAAACCATCCGTAAAGGTTTCGTGCGACCGTCCCCAGTACAGGATTCCCCTGTACAGGGTGTGAACATCGTGCACTCGATGGTTTTCCCCGGCCCATGCCGGGTACTCTCCAGTCGAATCTGACGTTTGGCTACACTAGTAGAGCCGTTCGCTCATTTCACATTTCCCCTCCACCTGTGCAAATCGTGACCTGCGCAATTCGCGGACCCGAGGAGTCTGGAGCTTCAGCGAATCATGCCGCTCTCGGCACAGAAGCAGCGCGAGCGCCGCGCCGCGCAGCGCGCTGCCGAGGCTCAGGACGCGGCTCGCGGGCAGCGCAACCGCCCGGCGCCGAGCCGGTGCTAGGCCGCCTCCGCTGCGCCTGCTTCCTTGCGCGCCGCTGGACGTCGGCCGAGAAGACCGCTTCCCTCTGGGGACCCGACTCCGCGAAGATCGCGCGCGCGTCGTGAGTGGCGGCGCGCGCGCGATCTCCGTTCCCGGGCACGCCGGTCGCAGTGGCATGGGATCCCAGGCTCAAAAGCGCTCCCGTCAACAGCGAGCGAGCGCCGCCGCTGCTCCTCCTCCCACCGCCGCTGCTCCTCCTCCCGCCGCCGCTCACCGAGACCCGCCGCCGCCGCCGCCGCCGCCGCCGCCGCCGCCGCCTCGCGCCTCGCCTCCGTCACCGCCGCCCTCCATCTCGCAGCGGCGCGTCCCTCTGATGGCGCGGGCGCCTCGCTCACCGGCGCCTCGCCGCCGCCCCCCCCCCTTCTCGCGCCGCTCCGCTCGTGGCCGCCGCCTCCCCTGTCAATCCCGCCGCCCCCCCTGTCATCCCGCCGCCCGCACCACCGCCGCCACCGCCTCGCGCCTCGCCGCCGCCGCCACCGACCGCCCTCTCCCCTACGCCGCTGAGCGCGGTGCAGGGGGCGAGCCCCCCCCTGCGCAGCCTCACCGTAGTGCACTGCGCTCTCCGCGCCCCTGACGATTAGTGAGGAGGTGGTGTTGCACAGCATGGAGCTCAGCATGGAGCTCGGCGAGCGTTTAGCGAGCCCCTCAGCTAGTAGAGGGAAGAAGGGAGGGAGGGGCGTTTCGTTCTAAATTGATGAGAGGACTAGCACTCACCGCCCGCACACTCTGCCGCCCATCCCTCCAAACGGGCTTCTTGGGTGGAAAGAGATCCACCGGTCGCTTCACCGGTTTCTCAAAACGGTCTGGTCCCAGGACCATGTTGTCGCGAGCGCTTGTCTTGGCCACCTGCCTCACTGTCGCCCGCGCTTTACACGCTCCGACGCCGCCGTGCCGCCACGCTCTCCGCGTCACCTCTCCTCGGCTTGCAACCAAGAAGAAAGTGTCGAAGAAGGGCGGCGCGCGAGGCTTTGGCGGCGGCGCGGCCAAGCAGGCCGTCAAAGAGCTGACGCCGGAGCAGCTCCAGTGGCGCGACCTCAAGGAGTGGGTCGCCTCCTCGGGCGGCGCCGCCGATGCCGTGCGCCTCACCGACTGCGGCGGCGGCCTGCGAGGCCTGAAGGCGGAGATGACCCGAGATGACCCGAGATGACCCGAGATGACCCGAGATGATCCTCGATTCCCGAGATACTCCGATTTCCCGAGACGTGTGCGCATTCTCAGCGCGGCTTGCGTGCTCCCAAGGCTGCGCGGGACCTGGCCAAGGGCGACGAGATCCTTCGCATCCCTCGCTCGATCATCCTCGACGTGGAGCGCGCAGAGGCGAGCCCGGTGAGCGGCGTGTGGCGCTCGAGCGGCGGCGCCCTCCCCGGCTACCTCAAGCTGGGCCTCGCGCTGCTGTACGAGGTGCGGCGGGGCGCAGCCTCCGACCTCCTCCCCTACCTCGCCATGCTGCCGACGCAGGACGAGTTTGCGGCCGGCGGAGGGCCGGCGGCGATGTGGTGAGGAGGAGCTCGCGCTCGCCGAGCGACGTGGGGCAATCTCGGGTGATCTCGGGCGATCTCGGGTGATCTCAGGTCCGACGACGAGCTCGCCCTCACCGAGTGCGCCCACCTCATCGACTTTGCAAAGCGGCGGCGCGGCCAGAGCCGCGGCGAGGGCGTGCCAGCGCTGCAGCCCGACGCTCTGGCGGCGAGCTGGGCAGAGTGCGGCCTGCCGGGCGAGCCGCCGGGCAGAGACGAGCTGTCGTGGGCGGTCGGCGCAGTGACGAGCCGCGCCTATGGCGTCGGGAGCGGCTCCGGCCTCGTCCCTGTCGTCGACATGGCCAACCACGACGGGCGGACGCCGCAGCACACCGCCAAGGGCCTCGAGGAGGACGGGCGCTCCTTTGTCGTCCTCGCGACGGAGCCGATCCGGAAAGGGACGCAGGCGCGCCTCTCCTGCCCGAGATGAACACAGATGGCCCGAGATGACCAGAGATAGGCCCGAGATGGACCGAGATGACCAGAGATGGCCCGAGATGACCAGAGAGGACCCGAGATGACAAGAGAGTGCAACCCCGATCCGGCGGGGGAGCGCAGGTGTGCCTCTCCTACGGCGAGCTGCCCAACTGCGTGCTGCTGCCGCAGTTCGGCTTCGTGCTCGCCTCGCTCGACGCACCGCCAGACCCACCCGCTCGCCCGACCTCGGCGGGAGCTTCAGCGGCTGAAGCTTCTCGGAGCCCTTCCGTCAGGCGCCTCCGGACTTGCCGCTCGTCGACTTCACACCGTGCTTGCGCGAGGCGGAGGGAGCGGCCGGCGGCGCGGCGCTGCTGCTCTCTCTGGCGGAGGCGGGGGGCTGCTTGGTGGAGGGAGGGGAGAAGGACGCGGGCCGAGACTCAGCCCAGCCCTTGCTGGCTGCAGGACGGGCTGCTGGTGAGGGAGGGCGACGGCTCGATCTCGTGCTGGCAGGCTGCGGGCGCGAGTCTGCAGGTGGCGCTGCTCAATTTGCACGAGGCCGGCGCGCTGAGCGGCGGCGGCGAGGAGGAGGCGGCGGCGGCGTCGGCGCCGGCGGCAGCGCGGCACGCGTGGCGCCGCTACCGCGACCTGCTGCAGGGGACTCTGGCCGGCTACTCGACTGGCGTCGCGGAGGACCGGAGGCGACTTGGGCTCGGAGGCGCCGCGCCGACGGCGTCCGATGCCCGCGGCGTCGTCGTCGACGCTGGCGGTGCGGCGGTCACGCCGTTGCCGCCTCCGAACGGCGCCAGCCGCGTCGCCGCGGAGGGCGAGGCGGCGGCGGCGGCGCTGCCCCCGCGCACGCGCCTCGCGCTCGAGTTCCGCCTCTCGCAAAAGGCGATCTCGGCCGCATCTCGGCCGCATCTCGGCCGCATCTCGGCTGAATCTCGGCCGCATCTCGGCCGCATCTCGGCCGCATTTCGTCTGAATCTCGGCTGCATCTCGGCTGCATCTCGATGGCGTCTCTCCGCTACATCTCGAGCTCCTCTCTCTCGCGCAAAGGCGCTGCTCAACCGCGCCCTCGCCGCCAGCACCGCCGCCGGCCCCGGCGGCGTGGTCGAGGCGGCGGCGCGCATCCGCTTCCAGGTGCGCGTTGCGAGGCGGCCGCCAGAATCTCGGCGGCATCTCGGCGGCATCTCGGCGGCATCTCGGCGGCATCTCGCCTTGCAGGTGCTCGGCAGCCGCGTGTACCAGGAAGCGGTCGCCGAGGAAGGCGCGTGCGCCATCACCGACGTCGCCGTCCGCCCTCCTTGTGCTTTTGTCCGAACCGAGTCTGAACCTTCCTGCAGGCGCGCGCGTCACCAGCAGCGGCTTGGTGGTGCTGCACGAGGCCGAAGGCAGCGGCGCTTCGCCTACGGCGTCCGACCGGGTGGTGGTGCACTACGAGGGGAGGAACGCGGACGGGATCGCCTTCGACTCGTCGTACGCGCGCGGCGACCCGGCCACTTTCGCTGTGGGAGGTGTGATCCCCGGCTGGACCGAGGGTCTGCAGCTGATGCGTGTGGGCGGCAAGGCGCGGCTCACGATCCCGTCGCACCTCGGCTACGGCGACAAGGGGTCTCCGCCCAAAATCCCCGCCAAGGCGACGCTCGTCTTCACCGTGGAGCTGCTCGGCGTCGAGTGAGGTGCCTTGTGTATATGTCGGTCGGTGTGTCTCGAGACCCCCCGTCCCACATCCCCTGCCCCCCCCTGCGCTACAATATTGTTTTGTGCACGCGTCGCGACCCGACGCCGGTCACAATAAAGGCCGCGGCGGCTTGATGTTGATCGCACTCCCCCCACTCCTTTGCCGCCCGCCCGCGAGGTGCGTCCTGAACAACCTTGCCTTGCAGGGTGGCGGAGGGGGCGGCTTTTTGATCCACGGCAGCGTGCACCACCTCCATTGCCTGCCGCACGCGAGCAGTGTGCGCCCCCCGCGTACCCGCTCCGGCATGGGCCCGCACGTGACCGTCGGCGAGGGGGGGGGATGGAGCGCGCTCTCCCTCATCTGTGCTGCCACGGCCGGCAGCATGGCCGGCAGCCCCTTGAGGCCGTGGATGACGGGCGCGCCTGGGGCAAGGCCACCGCCGAGCTCAGCTCGGGTGCAATGGAAAGGGTACTGTGCAGTTCGGGCGCGCGCCCGACACGTTTAGCTCTCGCAAGCAACACGCGGCCTTACCAGGCCCCGCCTGGTTGCACGCGCCGGGCGCGGTGTAGAGTGCGTGGTTGGGGAAGGCGAGCACGGTCACCGCCGCAGAGGTAGAGTCTGCGAGGAGGGTGGGAGGGGCGGATGGCGGGTCTGGCAGCAACCGGGCAACGCGACAGCAGGAGCCATCAGTAGGTCTCGGGAGTGGCCACCTGCGCCCCTCTCGCGGCACATGGTCCACCCCAAAAAGACGTCGTCGAAAAGGCGTACGCTCAGGTCGCCGGCGCTAGCGGCACGCAGGAAGAGACCTCTGCGTCGCGCGCTGTCGAGCGGGATGGGTGCGGTGCCATTCTGACCACTCCCTTGGAAGCGGTTGAGGCGCGAGTCAATGGCGAGGCGCACCTGAGGCGGTTCGCTCGCGGCGAGCGATTGGGGTTGGCGTCATGGTTTCTAGGGCCTGGACAGGGCTGCACCGCAGTCTCGATGTCGCGAGAGCCGGCGTACCAGCGGATGAGCGACATCGACATGACGATTATCGGGCCCGTCACAAAGGGGAAAGGCCCGTCGCAGCTTCCAGGCGGCGTGAGGCAGGCGCGCTCGCCTAGAGGTGTGTCGAGAGGCGCCGCTCAAGGCCGATGCCTTGCGAGAGAGCACTGAGGCACGAGCCTCGCCCCGCGCGGCGGCAACTGCGCCCTCCGGACTGGCGCGAGAGGAGGAGCGGGTGTGAGAGTCGAGTCCCGTCTGGGAGGATAGTCAGCTGGCCTAGCCCCGCGAGCACCTGAAGCCAAACCCGACGGGCTTGTGGAGACTGCGGTGCCACGAGAACCACTGCACCCGCCCGAGGTAGAAGGGCTGCCCCCTCGCAAGCCGGAGAAGCATGCGGTCGAGCCACACGGGAGAGATGACCGCGTCGGTGTCTGCCCGTCCAATGAAAGGCACCTTTGCAAACGCCGGGTGCGACGCGGCAAACCGAAACCAGGCGTCTGCGAGAGAGAAAACGACAACCGCCAGCCCAGATGACTGGCCGAGGCATTCGAGGCGATGCAGATCGGCCTCCTCGCTAGCGGCGCTGCCGACCGCTGTGGCCGCTCCGTCGCTGTCATGCGTGGAGACAGCAAATCGCAGGGCCAGGCTGTGCGGCAGATGGGATGCGCTGCTCCACGCCTCTCGGACGTGTTCTCTAAGCGCGACATCGTCCCGGCCAATGACGCCGATGACGGCCACCGTGTCCCGAGTGACACGGTGCATTCCTCAGCGGCGGGCGGGCGGACGCGCGTATAACTTTCGTGTTACTTTTGCAAACTCCGGCGTGGACAACTCGAGGCTTGTGCGCGTGGTGCCAACGATTATATATGATCGCTCAGCCGCGCCCAGCCCGCCCTCGCCCTGTTAAAATCTTTTTGCCCCCCAAAAGAAGAAGAACGGCCGCGAGAAAAGGGAATTTAAGGAAAGGCGCGCGCCCCCGAAATTCTCTTCGACGGCCCATAAGGGGCTGTCGCCTGCTGTGCCTTTTTCCAGTCCAAAGAAAGAAAGAAAACAGACAACCCAAGGGAGGGATGGGATTTTCGCAGTCTCTCGCCGCTTCTCGCTGCAACCTTCATGCCACCTCGCGGCCGTCCCACTGCCACCATGCCAGGGCGCTCAAAATTCTTCTTTTTGCGGCGTAGATTGTGAATGAGCTTGCCTGAGGGCGGTCCCCCCCCCGTCGAGTGCACGGAGCTAAGTGCCTCGCCGTCCTCGCCTTCGCTGTGCGCGGCACGCTCTTCTGCTCTCTGTTGGAAGGGCGTTCCTCCTCGAAGCGCACAGTGCTGACGCACGATTGCCGATGGAGTCGATCGCCGCTGGCGCCGCGGTAGGCCTGATCGAATGTGCTGTTTGCCAGCCGTTCGACATGGTAAAGACCCGCCACCACCTGTCCAGCCAGGCCCGGTCCGTGGCCTCCTCGCTGCAAGCCATCCACGCCGAGGGCGGCTTCCGTCGCTTCTACCGGGGCGTCGGCCCCGAGTTCGCCGGAATGGTGCCAAAGAGCGCGGCCATGTACTCCTCATACGATGGGGCGCGGCAGCTGCTGCTGGCACACACCTCGCTCGACGAGGTGGCCGCCTCCGTTGCCGCTGGCGCGGCAAGCGGCCCGTTCGAGGCGGCCGTGGTACAGCCCTTCCAGGTGGTCAAGGTGCGGATGCAGACCAAAGAGTACGTTGGCCGGTATGCCGGCTCGCTCGACTGCGCGGCGCGGGAGACTAGAGATGCGGAACACAGATCTCAAGCCCGCAGACACCCTCCTCTAGTGGCTTCATGCCACGCCGCGCACACGCAGCACTCGCGTGCACGGCCGAGTCAAGGCTGCGACCACATCAGCCGCCCTCCACGGCCCCTCTGAGCCTCCTGCAGGCGCAGATGCTGCGCTCGGAGGGCGTGGCGGCCTTTGCGCGCACCGGCCTTGGCGCCACAGTGTGGAGGAGTGGCCGCCCACCAAGCCCTCCGCGCGGGCCCCTCCACGCGGTGGTGCCGCACTGTAGCTCGTCCTCGTCCTCCGCCTAGGAACTCGGTGTGGAACGCAGCCTACTTTGGGTCGATGGCCGCGGTGCGGCGGCGCGGCGACGCGGCGGGCGGGCGGGCGGCGGGCGGCGGCGGCTCCGAGGCGGCGGCGAGGGGCCTCGACCTCGTGGCAGGCTTTGGGTGCGGCGTGCTAGCAACGTGCTTCAACGCCCCGTTCGACGTCGCCAAGTCTCGCATCCAGTCTCAGCTGCCCGCAGCAACGGCGGGCGCGACGGGAGACTCGCACCGCCGCTACCACGGCACTCTGAGCACGCTCGCCCGCATCGCGCGCGAGGAGGGGCTCGCCGCTTGCTGGAAGGGCTTCCAAGCCAAGGCGATCCGCATGGGCCTGGCAGGCTTGGTCGGGCTCTCCTCGTTTGACCTCGTCAAGTGGCTGCTGGTGTAGTTTTGATTTTTTGTTTGTATCTTTGTATCTTTTGTATTTATTCGTCAAGTGTCAAGACCATGATTCTAATCGGAAGGAAGCTCTGCTGTAAAGCCGTACGTGCAGTGTGACTCTAGAGGGTAGTGCAGTGACCACTGACCAGTGTGGCGTGGGTTGTATCGTTGGGCGCGCGGCCGGTGTTGCTCTTGGTTCAGGCGCGTCGCGTGCGTACCCTGTACCCATCAGTATAATACCATCAACGACACAGTCACTCAGTCACGAGACAAGACCAGACAGAGAGCAGATCGGAATACGAAGCCCCCCGTCTCTCATCTCGGCACACTGTCACAGCACGTATTCGACACCCTCCCGGTGAGGGTCTCGCATCATCAGTCATGGAGTCCATCAGTGTGTATGCGCATGCATGCGCGCAAGGGCGCGGAGGAGGGCCAGGGCGCCTGATCCTAGAGCGCGCTTTGGCTCGCTCGCCCGTGCCCTCGCGCCACCCCGGCCGCGTGACTACGCGACCGGCTCGGGGCGGTACGGCGCGAGGGCGGTCGCGTCGACGGCGGCGCGCACCCCGGCGTGCGCCTTGAGCTGCTCGATGCGGCGCAGCACGCACGCGCCGCGCAGCAGCTGCATGTTCGCCTCGTGCACGTCGTGGTACGCGTTGGCGACGGCCGGGTCGAGGTACGTCCCGCGCACAAAGTCGTTGAACGAGCCGATGGCGGGGCCGCACCAGACCTGGAAGTCCATCGCGCGGTCCGTCACGCCCGCGTTTGCCCAGCCGCTCGAGAGGCCGAGGTACCAGCGGAAGATGAGCGCCATCTTGCCCTTCGGGTCCGCCTCGGCGCGCTTGATCTTCTCGGGGTCCTTGAGCTGGTTGAGCGTGAAGTCGACCGTCTCCTGCCACACCGTGTCGATCGGCTTGCGGAAGACCGTCTTCTCGAGCCGCTGCCGCACGTCGGCCGGGATGGCGTCGAGCGACGGGTACGCGAGGAAGAGCTCGTACAGCTTGAGCGCGCGCGACGGGAACATGGTGCCCTTCTTGAGCACCTGCAGCTTGACGCCCGACTCGAACATGTCCGCCGCCGGCGCCATCACCACGTCGCTGTACGTCGCCTTGGAGAGCTGCTCACGCACCGTGTCGCACGTGCCCGACTGCCGCGCGAGCTGGTTGATCGTGCCCGTCACCACAAAGTCGGCCCCCATCGCGAAGGCCGCCGCCGCCGCCTCGGGGCAGCCGATGCCGCCGCCGGCGCCGACGCGGACGTGCACGCCCGTCTCGAGCTTGACGGCGTCGCGCCGCGCGATGATGACAGGGAGGAGCACCTGCAGCGGCCGGTTGTCGGTGTGGCCGCCGCTGTCCGCCTCGACCGTCACGTCGTCGCACATCGGCACGGTCGCCGCGAGCGCCGCCTGCTCCGCCGTCACCTTGCCCTCCCGAAGCAGCCGCGCCACCATGTCGGCGGGCGGCGGCCGCAGCGCCATGTCGGCGAGCTCGGTGCGCGACACCTTGAAGATGATCGAGTTCTTGCAGACCGTCCTGCCCGTCGCCGCGTCGCGCGAGAGGCCGACCACGCGGTAGCGCACCACGTGCGGCGTCAGCTTCATGAAGGCGGACGCCTCGACGACCGTCACGCCGCGCGAGAGGAAGAGGTCGACGTTGCGCTCCTCGAGCAGGTCGTCGAAGGGCGAGTGGATCAGGTTGACCGCGAACGGCTTGCTGCCCAGCGCGGCCTGGATCTTGTCGAGCCCCGCCGTCACCTTGCCAATCGGCAGCCCGCCCGCGCCAAAGGACGCGAGCATGCCGTGCTGGCCGGCGGCGATGACGAGGTCGGCCGACGCGATGCCCTTGGCCATCGCGCCCGTGTAGAGCGGGTACTGCACGCCGTAGTGCTGCATGAAGGCGGCCGAGCCCAGCCCGAGCGACCCGAGCGGCACCGGGTGCACCTGCACCGCGCCCACGCCCGGCCCCTCCACCACGAGCGGCTGCTCCGTCTCGAGCAGCGCCTCGCGCACCGCCGCCGCGTCGGCGGCGGAGACCGTGGTGACATCGGCCGCGCTCTGCGCCGGCCGCGGCAGCGCCGGCGCCGGCGCCGGCGCGGTGAGGAGGTGCGCGGCGGCCGGCGCGATGCGGATGCGCAGCCCCGTCGCATGGTACACGCGGAGCGAGTCGACGTACAAGTAGCCGTCGGCGGTGACGGTGACGGCGCCGTCGGCCTTCTCCACCGTCTTGATGTGGACCTCGACGTCGCCGCGGTTGGCCTTGGGCGTGAGCTGGCCGCGGTACTTCCACGTGGTCTTGCCGAGGTCGTGCGTAAAGGTCGCGTTGGCGATGCCCGCGCCGAGGCCCGTGTGCACGCAGAAGAGCTCGAGCGTTTGGTGCATCGCCTCGATGCCGAGCGAGCCCGGCATCACGGGGTCGCACCAGAAGTGGCACGAAAAGAACCAGTCGCGCGGGTCGACGGTCTTGAAGCCGTGGCCGTACCCCTTACCGTGCTCGCCGCCCGTCGCCGAGAGGCCGATCTCATCGAGGAAGCGAACCTGGTCCGACCGCCGGCTGAGCAGGTGGGCCGGCGCGAGGCCGGCCGCGACGGCGCCGGCGAAGAGCTTGCCCTCGTCGGCGGGGAGGGCGAAGCGGGTGACGGGGTGCTTGTTGGCCACGTGCCAGCACTCGCGCTTGACGCCGTTGTCGAGCCCGACCTGCTTCTCGAAGACCGCCGGCAGGAACCAGCCGAAGGACGAGTCGACCTCGTAAAAGGGCTTGCCGTCCACCTCGAGCACGGTGTTGAACTTTTGGACGCCCATCTGGCCGAGCATGGCGTAGCCGGTGCACTTTGAGGTGTTGACGATCGTCTTGCCGCGCAGGTCGACGTGCGCGTACAGCTTGGCGGTGGCGTCCAGGTTGCGGAAGAGCAGGTTGAAGCCGTGGTCCTTTGACATCGTGAGCGGCGCCTGCGGGGGGGCGAGGGTGAGGGACGATGGGGGAGGCGCGGCGGAGGTGGCTCTGCGGGGCGCGAGAGCTGAGGGCGGAGAGCCGGGAGGGTGTGCGGGGCTGGACGGAGGGGTCCGTGGGAGTCGCACCTTGTTCCACGAGGTGAGAATGCCGCACGTCTGCAGCGCAATCTCCATCAGGATCGAGTAGGGCATCTGCGCGTCGTTGGGCGCGCCGACGAAGAACCACGCGTCGGCGGGGCAGTCGAACTCGGCCACCATCGTGCCGCTCGACGGGTCGCGGTCGGTGCCGTAAAACTTGGTCGAGCCCTTCTCCTCAACGAGCCCCGTCACGGAGAGGACGCGCGTGGTGAGGGCGAGGTCGAAGGCGGGCGAGCGCGAGACGGAGGCCTCGTCGAAGCCCTTGAAGTCGTCGCCGAGGCTCTTTGAGAGGTCGTTGCACATGAACTCGCACATGTTGACCCACGAGAGCGGCAGCTCGCCGGGCGTGTGGTTCGTGTCGTTCGGGTTGTTTGGGAAGGGCGTGAAGCAGATGGGCCGCGGCGGGTACGAGGTCGCGCGGAAGCCGGGCGTCGGGTGGCCGTCCCTGCCGGCCCACGGGTGCCACGTGAGCTTGTGCCCGCCGACGGTCGCCCCCCCCCACTTCATGAACTGCTGCGGCGGCAGCGCCGAGCGCTGCCCGCCGGACAGGTGCAGCCCTCCGGCCGCGTACATCTGATCGCGCGACAGGGCGGGCGGCGGCGCGGGCACGAGCGCGCGCGGCACGGACTGCACCGCCGCGACGCGCTTGCCAAGGATGGGGTGGGCGGCGGTGGGAGGCCCCTCCATCTGGAGCGCCACGCCGCGGAAGTCGACCACCACCCGCTTCTTCATGTTGCCGCGGCAGTACGGCTCGAGCGCGGCGAGCAGCTCCCCCTCGGACGGGTGGTCGAACGACTCGCCACTCTCGTAGTTGATGTCGATGATGTTGACGTCCGCCTTTGCGTACGGGTAGCCCGTCTCCTTGTCGAAGCCGAGCTCCGAGATCTCGACCCAGTACACGAGCTTGCCCTTGTGCGGCGAGATTTGGCCGCGGCAGCGCACCTTGTTTGGCTGGTTGTGCACGGGGGTGAAGGTGATGCCCTCGACCGCCTTGTGCATGCCCATGTAGATCATGTACATCTTGAGGATCTGCGAGCAGCCGTCCGAGACGAGCGAGCCCGCCATCACCTGGTCGTTCTTGAAGTGGCACGGGAAGTACCTGCGCGCGCACACACACGCGGGGCGAGTCAGCAGCCGTGCCGTGAGCGGTGCCCAGGGCGGGGCCGAGGGCGGGGCGGTGCGCGCGGAGTGGATGCGGAGGCATACGCGGGCGTGACGGCGGCGCGTGGAGGCAGCGGCGTGGATTCAGAGGAGCGCGGCTGGAAGGAGAGGGAGGGGAGTATCTCGGGAGGGTCGAGGCGCACCAGTGGTCGCGCTCCAAAATCTTCTCGCCAACGAGCAGGCCGAGCCCGTGCACGCCGCCCCGCGGCAGGATGTGCGTCACACGGTCGGCCATCAGGATCTTGCGCGCGCAGAGCTTGTACTGCACGTCGGCCGCCGAGGGGCCCATGACCTCGCCCCAGGTGCCGGGCTTGTGGCCGGCGTCGCTCAGCTTCTGCATGTCCGCCTCGGAGAAGGTCTTCTTGTCGGTGACGAGGGCGAGGTGGCACGGCGACGGGTCCTTCTTGTTGGCGGCGTACTTGGCGCGCATCTTGAGGTCCGCCTCGGTCCACACCACGCCCTTGCCCTCGTCGAGCTCCTGCTTTGAGAAGAAGCCCGCGACGCCGTTGCGCATCTCGATCAGCAGCTTGCCGTCGCAGTAGCAGTTGTACTCGAAGAAGAACATCGAGACGAGGCCCGCCTAGGGAGGAGTGCGTGAGAGTGGGACAGGGTGTCTGTGGGGAGGTGCCTCGGCAAGAGGTTCTAGGTGCTGGCTGTCGGAGCCGGAGGGGGCGCGCGTGCTAGTTGCGTCTGCGCGCCTTCTTGGCGAAGGAGTTGATCTTGATGTCGTACACGAGGGTCTGCCCCTCCTGCGCGACGCCGAAGAAGGTGAGCGTCGTGTCGAGCAGCCGGTACGCCTTGCGGCCCTTGTTCTGGAAGTCGACGCCCAGGTACGAGATGAGCATCAGGTCGCACTGGCCCGACTCGACCAGCACGGCCCACGGGATCTGGCCGCCCTCGCTCAGCTCGCCGTTGGGCGGCAGGTCGTACTCGGTGGTCATGGTGCACGACTCGAACACGTTCGTCGTTGCCTGCATCTTGGTGACGCGCGAGCAGAGCAGGTACTCGCGCTGCGGCAGCCGGCAGCAGTACGGGTACGAGTCCACCTGAGGGGTTGACGTGGCGTGTTGGCTGGAGGCGAGAGAGGCGCGAGGCCGGGCGAGGGGCGATGAGGGGGGCGAGGGGCGGGTGCTGGCACCTCCGCCCACGGAGGGTGGGAGCCGGAGAGGTGCTTGTTGAAGACGGGGGCGATGTTGCCCTCGGCGTACTCGAGCAGGTCGTCGAAGTCCCACAGGAGCGGGCCCTTGTACTTGCGCGCCTGCTCGCGCTGGTACTCTATCTCGTACTCGAGCGCCGACCCCTTCGAGCCAAAGGTGCCGCCGCCCTCGACCTCGAGCAGCGACGCCGTGCTCGGCGTGCGCGCCGCCAGCGACGACTCCATCGTGGCGCCCTCCGTGAAGGCAGTGGGAATGCGCTTGATGGTGCGCAGCAGCCGCTCGTCCATCGGCGTCGACATCCTCGACGGGCGCGGCGTGCTCGAGCTGTTGAAGCGGCCGTTGATCTCGATGAGGCGGCGCAGCTTGCTCGGCTTTGGCGCCGTGCCGGAGGCCACCTGCGCAGCCTCGGCGAGCAGCTTCGGGTGGTAGAGCTTGCGGACGCCGCAGCCGGTGCCGCCGTGCGAGATGAGCTTGGCCGCCATCCGCAGCATCTGCTGCCACGCGGGCTGCCCCTTGGCGTCGATGGCGACGGCCACGTGCCGCGCGCCGCCCTCGGAGAGGATGCTGTGCACCGCGGCGGCGCGCTTGTCGCCCGAGCCGAGCTCGACAAATACGTCGTACTGCTTGGCGTGGACGGCGTGCACGACGCGCTCAAAGTCGGCCAGCTTGTTGTACAGCTCGGCGCACAGGTCGCCGACATGCGCGCCATTCTTGTCGCTCAAGGGCTCGACGCGCGCGCCCGACGACCAGAACAGCTGCACGTCGGACGCCGGCGGCATCGAGAGCATGCCGTGGATGTGCGAGATGGCGGCCTTGTGCGGGCCAACCTCGGCGCAGTGGCCGACCATCCCCTGCTCGAGCGGCGACGACTGGCAGCCGAGGCGCGCGATGAGGGCCTCGCACTGCTCCGGCTTGCCGGCGATCAGGCACGACTTGTTGTCGTTGACGATGAGGAGGCGCACGCAGCCGGCCGCGGCGCCCATCGCCTCGATCCCCTGCGCCACCTGCGCCTTGGTGGCGTGCAGCACGAAGCCGCGCCAAAAGCTCCCCACCGGCGCGTCGGCGGGCAGCCCCCACGCCGAGCGCAGCGCGTTCATCTTGACGGCGAGCTGCTCGGTCCACACCGGCGACGCCGCCAGCCGCGCGGTGAGCTGGTCGGACTTCTTGGCATTCTCGGGGCCGAAGGCGAAGAGCATCGACACCTCGCCGAGCGAGAGGCCGCACGCGGCGCGCGGCGCGACGCCGAGCACCTCGCGCGCCACCGCCGTGTTGCAGAAGGCGTGGTAGACGCCGCCGCGGAACATCTCGACCTGGTCCTTGTCAAAGGCGGCGCTCTTGTCGCCGAGCTCGTCGAGCGAGACGGCGCGCGGGTTCCACGCCTCGTCGCTCCGCGCCCACATGTCGGTCGTGCCCTTCTCCACGGTCTCGTGCAGGCCGGGCGCGATGCGGTGCAGCCCCGCGTCGAAGCCGGCGTACGGGCTCGCGCCGTCGCCGTACATGAAGGCCACGCGGTCGGAGCGCATCGGCGAGGGGGTGAAGAAGGAGCCCGAGGGAGAGGTGTAGTCCTTGCCCACGCGGATCGAGATGCCGACGCCCTTGGCCGCGTGCTTGAGCTCGGTCGCGAGCTTGGCGGCGGTCGTCACGAGGCAGAGCGTCAGGAGCGGCGCCGCGCTCGCCTCGGCCACCACCGTCTGGTGGAGGAGCAGGCCGAACTCCGCGTCCGCGCTGCCGGCCGCCGCCTCGATGCGGGCGAGGGAGGCCTCGACGGCGGCGACGATCTCGCCGGCGGTGGACGCGCGCAGCGTGACGAGCTTGGGCGCCGCCGGGTCGAGGGACAGCACGTTGTGCGTCTCGTGGCAGGCCGGCACGTCGGAGAGCAAGACGTGGAAGGCAGAGCCGGGCGCCGACGCGGCGACCCCCGAGACGGCGGCGCGGCGGAGGCCGCCCGCGTTCTTGACCCATGCGCGCGACGAGGCGCACGCGTAGAGCTGCGAGCCCTCCCACGTCGACTGCATGTGCTGCTGCGGCCTCGACCAGCGAGGCAGCTGCGGCAGGTAGCGGCCGTGCAGGCAGAGCGCCGTCTTGATCAGCGCCGCGGCTCCGCTCGAGTGGCCGACGTGCCCGACGTTCGCCTTGACGGTGCCCACCGCGACCGACCGGCTCGACGGCGAGCCCGCGTACGCGCTCGCCACACCCTTGACCTCCGCGTCGTCGATGCGCCGATCGCCGTCCGCTGAGAGCTCGACGTACCTGTAGGAGGGGGTCAGAAAGGGTCAGGGAAGGTTCACGCCGCTCGCCGCTAGAGTGCGACGCACTCGACGGCGCTCGCGTCGACGCCGCCGGTGGCGAGTGCGGCCGCCGCAGCAGCCTCGACGGAGGGCTCTTCGGCGACGGCATCGATCGAGGCGTACACGCGCGGCGCCGTCGCCGCCGCCAGGTCGCAGGCTGCCATCCGCTTGAGCACGAGCGCGCCCGCGCCCTCGCCGACAAATACGCCGTCGCTCGAGGCGTCGAAGGAGGCGGCCGGCTGCTGCGCGTGCGACAGCCGCACGCCGTTGCGTGTCTTGGTGAAGAGCGCCTCGGCGCTGCCGTTCAGGTCGACGCCTGCGATGACGGCCGCCTCCACCTCGCCGCGCGCGAGCCACTTGCTCGCGAGCTCGAGGCAGCGGTAGACCGAGTTTGCGCCCTGGGTCACCGAGAAGGCGGGGCCAGTGAAGCCCCACGTCGATGCGATCCGCGTGGCGATGATGTTGCCGATGTTGGAGGTGTAGCTCGTCGACGTGGCGACGTTGCTCACGTGCGAGAGCAGGCTGGCCTGCTCCTCCGTCAGCGTCGAGTCCGGCGTGAGCCCGAGCCGCTCGCGCATCGCCACGCGGGCGCGGTGGCGGTAGAGCTCCATGTCGGTCGAGAGGCCGATCAGCACCGCGACCTTGCCGCCCTTGGACACGGCGCCGCCGCTGTCAAGGAGGGCGCGGTCGATGGTGGAGAGGGCGAGCAGCTGCTGCGGCTGCAGCTCGTCCTCCGGCAGCAGCGGCAGCTTGAGCCGCTCATAGTCGACGTCGATCTTGTCGACGAAGCAGCCGCTCACCGGGCTCTGCTCCGGCACGCCGATCGACTCGCGGAACGCCGCGTCCTCGGCGAGGAAGCGCCACCGCTTGGGCGGCAGCTCGCACGCGCCGTCGCCGCCGTCGTGCACGGCGCGCTCCAGCGCGGTCAGGTCGGCGAGGGTGCCAAAACGCGCCGCCATGCCGACGATGGCGAGCTTCGCCCCGGCGGGCGGGCCGCCGAGGCCCTTTGGCGGCGCCGCCGCGGTGGGCGAGTGCTGCTCAAGGACGGCGTGCGCGTTGGTCCCGCCAAAGCCGAAGGCGGAGAGGCCGGCGCGCCGCGGCGCGCCGTTGGCGACCTCGGGCCACGCCGTCTTCGCCGTGATGATGTTCTTGTCGAGCGGGCGGGTCAGCTTTGGCGTCGGAGGGATGACGCCGTGCTTCATCGCGAGGAGCAGCTTGCACGCGCCCGCAAACCCGGCCGCGGTGAGGGTGTGGCCGCACGTGCCCTTGGACGAGCCGAGGAGTGGCAGCTGCGCGGCGCCAAAGAACTTGCGCATCGCGTCGAGCTCGCACATGTCGCCCTGCGGCGTGCCCGTCGCGTGGCACTCGATGTACTGCGGCGACGCCTTGGACAGCCCAAACTTGGAGTACGTCTCCGCGAGGCACTGGTGCTCCGACTCCGAGTGCGGCTTGAGCGGCAGGCCGCAGCCAGCGTTCGAGACGTGCGCGCCGAGCAGCACGCCGTGGATGCGGTCGCCGTCGCGCTCGGCGTCGGCCAGCCGCTTCATCACAAAGATGGCGCCGCCCTCGCCCGGCGTGAGCCCGCCCGTCTTTGCGTCGAAGGGCGCCGAGGTGCCGCCCTCCTTCGGCGGCAGCGCCTGGAAGGCGGAGAAGCCTGAGAGGACGAACATCGGCTCGGGGAGGCAGGACGCGCCGCAGAGCATCACGTCGGCGTCTCCCGTCACGAGGTAGTCCTGCGCGAGCTTCATGCAGTAGAGGGCGGAGGCGCACGCGGCGTCGAGGCACAGCCGCGGCGTGCCGGCAGACAGCCCGATCTCGGCCGCCACGAAGGAGGCGGGGTCGACCTCGGCGAGGGCGGCGGCGCGCTCGGTGTCGACGGGCGGCTTGCGGCCCAGCGCCATCCACGGCGTGCCGGCGGTCGCCTGCATCGACGGCGTCTGCCCGTAGGCGCGCTCGAGCGCGCCCTCGTACACGTCGCGCTGCAGCGCGCGCTGCATGTTGTCGCTCGGGAAGGAGAGGCAGCCCGAGACGATACCGCAGCGGGACGCGACGTCGGGGCTGCCCGCGTCCTTGAGCGCCTCGCGCGCGAGGTGGAGCAGCAGCTCGTGCTCCGACTCGACGGGATCGATCGAGCCGTACTGGTCGTTCTTGATGCAGTCGGCGCCCTGCACCTTTGCGCTCGAGCCGCCGTAGTGCGAGTCCATCGAGCCCACGCCCAGCTGCGCCGGCGAGATGGAGCCGGTCCCGACCTCGCCCGAGCTGAGCAGCCGCCAGAACGCGTCCAAGTCGGGCGCGCCGGCGTAGCGCGCCGCCATGCCGACGATGGCGATGCGCGGGTCGTCGGTGGGCGTGCGCCGGGCGGTGGCCGCCTTGCCCGCCGCCTTGCTGCCCGCCGCGGCCTTGCCCGCCGCCCGGAAGTCGAGGCCGCGGTTGATCGTGACGGCGAGCTGCCGGCCGGTGGCGTACGCCACTCCGGCCGCGTCGTGCAGGTAGCAGGTGGCGGTGCAGCCGGTGGGCGAGGTTGCAAACTCGAGCGTGAGGCGGTACTCGCCGCCGGGCGCGATGGGGCGGTGCCACTCGAGCGACCCGATGGTGGACGGCAGCGAGGCAGCGCCGAGCTTGCTCCGCGCCGCGACGAGCATCGCCTGCATCATCGCGTCGGCCGCGAAGCCGTTGACGCAAGTGCGCGTCGACTCGAACTGGCCGGCCTCCGCCGCGTCGAGCGACACGTTGACACACTTCGCCGTGAGCACGTCGCCGCTGATGGCGGCGTGCGCGATGTGCTGCAGCGCGGGCCCGTGGAAGAGCGTCTCGCCGTCGTACAGGGCGGCGACGCTGCCCGGCTGGCTGCCGCAGCCCACGCCGCACGGCACAGCGGCGGCGGTCGTCGAGAGCACCACCGTTGCGCCGTACGCCGGCGCGGCGCGCGCGCCCCCGCTCGCGGCGGCCATGCGGCAGGCGATCTCGAGCTCGGCCGCGTCCGGCGCGCTGGCGCGCTTCATCGTCAGCGTCACCTCGGTGTCCTCGTCGGCGAAGAGGCCTCCGAAGAGCTGCACGTCCTGGACCCGCGCCAGGTGGAAGCCGGGGTGCGCGCGCAGCACGGTGGTGGCCATGAGCGACGCCGCGCAGGTCATCGGCACGACGCGCCGCCCGCGGACGACGTGCGCGTCCAGGAAGCCGTTGTAGCCGCCGGACGTCGCCGGCGAGCGCAGGGTGAAGTTGAGGGCCGTCGCCGCCTCACGCGGCGGCACCGGTGGCAGCGCCCAGTTGCCGACGAGGCACTGCGAGCGGTCGGCCCCGCCGAGGGAGAGGAGGGCGGCGACCTGCGTGGCGCCCTCCTCGCGCGGGATGATCTGGATGCCCTGCGCCTTGAAGTGCGCCTTGAGCGTCGCGCTCACCATGCCGCCGTCCCACGGACCAAAGCAGAGCGCGCGCACCGAGCAGCCGGGATGGGACGCGCCGAAGCGGTGGACCATCTTGGAAAGCGCGTCGTTGGCCATCGCGTAGTCGGTCTGCCCCGCGTTGCCGTGGAAGCCGGCGAGCGACGAGAAGACGACCAGGTGGCGCAGCGAGCGTCGCTCGGCCGGCGCGAGCGCCTGCAGCATGTTGGCGAGGCCGCCAACCTTGACGCCGTACACGGCGTCGAAGTCGGCCGCCTCCTTCTTCTCGACGTTCTTGTCGCGCAGCACACCGGCCGCGTGCACGATGCCGGTCACCTGCAGGCCGTGCTGCGTCTTGACGGCGCGCACCGCCGCGGCGACCTTGGCGGCGTCGTTGGTGTCGCACGGCATGTACACGGCGCGCCCGCCGCGCGACTCGATCTGCCGCTTCGACTCGAGCACCTCGCGGCTGGCCCGCACCTGCCCGACGAGCTGGTCGAGGCTCTTTGGCGTCGGCTTTGGCCCGCGCCCCGCCGCAAACTCGGCCTTCATGTGCGCGTAGGCCGCTTTCTCGAGCGGCTTGCCCGAGTCGGCCACCGCCCGCGCCCACGCCGGCTCCTCCTTGACGGCCGAGCGGCCGACCAGGATGAAGGTGCCGCCGCCGACGCGCTTGGCGAGCGCGCCCATGCAGAGCGGCGTGATGCCGCGCGCGCCGCCCGAGACGAGGAGCACGTCGGTGGGCAAAAAGGCGGGGCGGGCGCCCTCGCTCGCGCCGGGCGTGAGCAGCTCCTTGGCGGTCGAAGCGTGGCGCTGGCAGCTCGCGCCGTACCCGACCTCGCGCAGCGTGCGGTCGGCGCAGCCGATCTCGCTCTGCACCAGCCGCGCCGCCGCCTTTGCGCCGATGGCGCCGTCGAGATCGATGCCGCGGCAAAACACGTGGGGCCACTCGAGCGCGAGCGCCTTGACGAGGCCGAAGATGGCGCCGCGCTGCGCACTCAGGACGCCCTGCAGCCCCGCCTCGACCGGAGCCGCCGCGCCGGAGCGGATGCTGTTGACAATGCCGAGGCAGCCGTCGTTATTCATGCGCGCGATGCCGACGAAGAAGCAGCGGCCGACCTTGCCGCCGCTCGGCGTCACCGCCTGCTGCAGGTGCGGCTGCAGGTGCTTTGCGGCCAGCAGCGCCCAGCGGAGCTGCGCGTGGTCGTCGCCGGCGCAGGCGGCGCTGTGCTGGTAGACGAAGCCGGAGGGGGCGCCGTGCTGCGCAGTGATGGAGCCGATCGCCGACTTGAGCGCAGCCTCCGAGGTGTCTTGCAGCCGGATGGTGGTGGCGCCGCGCACCTGCACGCCGGACCACGACAGCACGATGACGTGGCAGTCGACGGAGCCGCTCAGCGAGGCGACCAGCTCGGCGGTGAAAGGAGACCCGTCATCGACGACGAGGACGGGGCGCTTCCGGTCGAAGCCGATCTGCAGGGCCAGAGGCGGCGAGATGGGCAGCGTTGCCGCGTAGGACACGGTCACGTCGGACGCAGCCGAGATCGCGTCGTGAGCGGCGGTATCGGCACCCTCCTTGGTGGAGGGAGGCGACGGGCGCCGCGTGGACGCGAGGGCGGTGGCCATGTCGGGCGTGGAGCCGATGGAGGCAATGGATAGCGACCGGGATGGAGCCGAGGAGACGGGCTGGGAGCCCACTACGCCGCCGCCCTGCGAGCGGATCTCCTTGAGCATCGCGTCGACGACCTCGCCGACGGTCTGCGTGCGCGAGAGCGCGGCCACGTCCTGCGCCTCGACGCTGAGCTGCTTCTGCACCTCGCTCAGGATCTCGACGCGCTTGATCGAGTCGACGCCCAGCTCCGTCTCCAGCGCCATGTCCATCTCGATCATCTCCGGCTCGTACCCCGTCTTGGCGGCGAGCACGGCCAGCACCGTCTCGGTCGCCTTCTCCGACGACACGCCCGGAGGCGCCGCGGATGGCGACGGCGCGGCCGGCGGCGGCGCGGACACCGCCGCCGCAGCGACGCCGCCGCCCTGCGAGCGGATCTCCTTGAGCATCGCGTCGACGACCTCGCCGACGGTCTGCGTGCGCGAGAGCGCGGCAACGTCCTGCGCCTCGACGCTGAGCTGCTTCTGCACCTCGCTCAGGATCTCGACGCGCTTGATCGAGTCGACGCCCAGCTCCGTCTCCAGCGCCATGTCCATCTCGATCATCTCCGGCTCGTACCCCGTCTTGGCGGCGAGCACGGCCAGCACCGTCTCGGTCGCCTTCTCCGACGACACGCCCGGAGGCGCCGCGGACGGCGACGGCGCGGCCGGCGGCGGCGCGGACGCCGCCGCCGCAGCGACGCCGCCGCCCTGCGAGCGGATCTCCTTGAGCATCGCGTCGACGACCTCGCCGACGGTCTGCGTGCGCGAGAGCGCGGCCACGTCCTGCGCCTCGACGCTGAGCTGCTTCTGCACCTCGCTCAGGATCTCGACGCGCTTGATCGAGTCGACGCCCAGCTCCGTCTCCAGCGCCATGTCCATCTCGATCATCTCCGGCTCGTACCCCGTCTTGGCGGCGAGCACGGCCAGCACCGTCTCGGTCGCCTTCTCCGACGACACGCCCGGAGGCGCCGCGGACGGCGACGGCGCGGCCGGCGGCGGCGCGGACGCCGCCGCCGCAGCGACGCCGCCGCCCTGCGAGCGGATCTCCTTGAGCATCGCGTCGACGACCTCGCCGACGGTCTGCGTGCGCGAGAGCGCGGCCACGTCCTGCGCCTCGACGCTGAGCTGCTTCTGCACCTCGCTCAGGATCTCGACGCGCTTGATCGAGTCGACGCCCAGCTCCGTCTCCAGCGCCATGTCCATCTCGATCATCTCCGGCTCGTACCCCGTCTTGGCGGCGAGCACGGCCAGCACCGTCTCGGTCGCCTTCTCCGACGACACGCCCGGAGGCGCCGCGGATGGCGACGGCGCGGCGGCCGGCGGCGCGGCAACGGTCGAAGCTGGCGTCGCTTGCACGGCCGGCGCCGTGCGCTGCTCCGCCCGCTCCCGCAGCGCCACCTTTGCCTCCTCAAGCGCCGACTCCGCCGCGTTGAGCTTTGCCTGGAGTTGCCCGATGGTCGCCTCGGCAGTCTTGACCATCTGCTGGCGCTCGCTCGCCTCCTTCTTGGCGGCCTGCAGCTCGGCGTCGGTCGGCCCGACGCTGGCGACCGTGTTGCCCGAGATCTTGTACCCGTCGCTCATCGCCGCCTCCGTCGCGCGCGTGGTGCGCGGCGCCTTGAAGGTGGCGGCCGAGAGGCTGAGCACGCCCTTCTTGACCTTCAGCACGCTCTCCGGCGTGGGCGCCGGCGACTCGCTTGGCCGGCCGACGAGGAACGGGTTGGGCAGCGACCACGGGTCGAAGCGTGCGAGCGGCACGCCGTGCACCGCCAACTGGATGGCCGCCGCGCGGAGCTGCATGTCGGCCGACACGTCCTTCGGAGGGGGGGCGGCAAGGCAAGCGCTTAGCAGAGGGCGCACGCGAGGCTAACGCGAATGCGCTCACGTGGAGCTGCTCGTGTCTGCTGCCTCGCAAGCACGTGTAAAGGAGAGGCGGGGGCGTGAGGCGGCCGAGGGGGAGGCGGCCGAGAGATGGAGCGGGGAGCGGGGGGTGGGGGTGGACGGGCGTTCCTTGGAGGCGTTGACCGCCACGACGCACACGTCCTCTCCCTTGGGCAGAATCTTCTCGACGAGCTTGGCGAGCGTCGCGCGCGGGCCAAACTCGACGAAGACGCGCGCGCCGTCGCGGTACATGGCCTGCACCTGCTTCACCCACTGCACCGACGAGACCATCTGCTTGCGCAGCAGCGCCGCCGAGTCTGCGCCGCCGCGCGCGTACGCAGAGTCGCCCGTGACGTTCGAGTAGATCTTTGCGCGCGTGGGCGGCTCAAACTGGCCCGCGGCGCGCTCGACGGCGGCGCCAAAAGCCGCGCCGGCCGAGGCGAGGAGCGGCGTGTGGAAGGCGCCAGAGACCGCGAGCGGCACCACGCGGAATCCGGCGGCCTGCATCCGCGCCGACTCAGCGGCGACGGCGGGCGCCTTGCCGGAGATGACGACCTGCCCCGGCTCGTTGATGTTTGCGAGCCACACGTCGGGCGTGCTCAAGGTGAGCGCGGCGGCGTCCGGGCCGATGACCGCCGCCATCGACTGCCCCTCGCCGGTCGCGGCCGCCATTGCGTCGGCGCGCGCACACACGAGCCCGAACGCCGTGGCGCGATCGAGGACGCCGGCGGCGCACAAGGCCGAGAGCTCGCCGAGCGAGTGTCCCGCGACGAAGTCGGGGCGCAGCCCGGCCGCGGCGAAGATGTCGAACGCACCGAGCGAGACGGCGACCGTCGCCGGCTGCGCGTGCGCCGTCTCCTGCAGCCGCGCCTCGTGGCCGAGGTCGGCGTCCGACGCGTACGCCTCGCGCGGGAAGAGCACCTCGGACGGGAGCGGCACGTCCACCGGCCGCGCCTTGAACGCGTGCTCGTCCATCTGCGAGACGGACGACCGCATCGGCGGCCAGTCCATCGCGACGTCCTCGAACATGCCGGTGTACTGCCCGCCCTGCCCCGAGAAGACCGCCGCAACCTTGCCCGCCGTCTGCGCGCCCGCCGCTCGGAAGTGCGCGCCCTGCCGCGGCAGAGCCCACGCGGTCGCCTCCTTCTTGGCGGCCAGCTTGTCGCGGATCGCTGTCAGCACCTCCACCGCGTGCGCTGCGCCTTGCGAGACGAAGCCCACCCGCGCGTCCGACGGCGGCGCCCCGCCCTCCGGCGGCGCGTGGTCAGCCACAAACTGCGCGTACACGAGGGCGAGCGCGCGCTGCTCGGGCGCGTGCGCGCCGCCACGGTACGAGGCGGAGCCGTCCTTGGTCCAGCGCGCGACCGTGGCCTTGTCCGGGTCCGCCTTGCTCAGCGCGGCGGCGAGGGCGTCGAGCGAGGCGGTTACCTTTGCGGCGAGCGCTCCCGCCGTCGGCGCGCTCACCAGCACGAGGTCGGGGCGGCCGTGCGTACGATACGGCCGCGTGTGGTCGGGCTCGAACTCCTCGACGACGCAGTGGTAGTTTGCGCCGCCTAGGACGGGGCGGGAGGGGAGGGGGGGGGAGGCAGGGAGTGGGCGACGGGAGGGGGCTGGATTCCGTCCTAGAAGGCTGACCAATATGGCTAGCCGGTGTAACAGTCTAGCTGCGGCACCGAAGCCGAAGGAGGAGACGCCCGCGCGGCGGGGCACCCCGGGGCGCGGGAACCAGGGCCGCGCGCGCGTGTTGATGTAGAGGGCCGAGTCGGTGATGAGCGTGCCGTCGCGCAGCTTCGGCGGCTTTGACACGTTGATCGACTTTGGGAGGGTCTTATGCTTGAGGGCGAGCACGGTCTTGAGCAGGCCCGCACAGCCTGCCGAATGCGGTTCGGCGCTGGTGAGGGGACGTGGTGGCGACGGGACTGGCAGCGCTGTGGGCGGGGAGGCGAGCGCGGTGGCGGGGGAGGCGGGGAGAAGGTTCGGTCAGGGAGGGAGGAAGAGGGAAGCCGAGCCAGGCGAAGGAGGGGCTCACCGGCGACGGACTTGAGGTGGCCGATGTTGGACTTGACCGAGCCGACGGCGACGCGCTCGCGCCGCGGGTCCGCCTCCTTGGCGGCCCCCTCGCCGAGCACGTTCTTGAGCGCGGTCAGCTCGATCGCGTCCCCGACGGGCGTGCCGGTGCCGTGCCCCTCCACCATCGTCACGGTGGCGGGGTCGACGCCAGCCTTCTCGTACGCGCGCCGCAGCGCCAGCTCCTGGTCGGGTTTGCGGGGAGGGCGGGCGGGCGGGCGTCAGGCAGGGGAGGCCGGGGAGGGAGCGCCGGAGGATGCCGGGCCTCTCGTGTGGGAGCAGGCGGTGCGAGGCTTCGGGGGGGAGTGAGGCTTCGGAGGGGGAGCGTCTCGCGAGTCACCTGGCCGGAGATGGTGGGGGCGTAGATGCCGGGCGCCTTGCCGTCGGAGGAGGAGGCGCAGCCGCGGATCACCGCGTGCACCGTGTCGCCGTCCGCGAGCGCGTCCTCGAGCTTCTTGAGCACAAACATCACCGAGCCCTCGCCGATGAGCATGCCGTTGGCCGTCTCGTCGTAGGCGGTGACGGACTGCTTGTGCGAGAAGACGGGCGTCTTGGAGAAGGCCATGTACATGCCGATGGAGCAGTCGGTGCCGGTGGCGCCCGCTACCATCGTGCGGCAGTCGCCGTGCAGCAGCTCGTCGATGGCAACC